GTTGAGGTGCCCCCCAGTAGGAAAAGAAGGTTCCCCCCCCCAAAGGAGCAAGATGGTCCCTGCCTTGGCTTAAGCTGCCCCTCCCAGAGGTCCAGGGGGCGGAGAGGCAGGAGGGCCGAGAGAGCTCTGGCCATGGAGACACCTGGAAGGGTCGGGGGGAGGGTCTCCCCAGACACACTGCGGAGGGCAGGCAGAGGCAGCTTCTTATATATATATATATATATATATATATATATATTGCAACAAACAATTTTTTTCCAGAAAAAAACATTCATTCCCAATAAATTAAAAAGGTCCATTTCCTGGTATGGAGTTTTAAAAACGGAGGGCCCCCCCCTGTGGGCAGGAGAGATGGGGGGGTCACTCTGGGGGAGGGTCCAGCAGGAAGGGCGAGGTGACGGCGTGGGCCTGGGCGATGGCTGCCAGCTCCTTCAGGAACTCGCTAAAGATGACGGCGCAGTAGACGGCGTTCTTCACCCGCAGCGCTTCGCTCTGCTTCTCGGCGGAGCCGCGGAAGAGGGAGCCGCCCGAGAGTGCCTGCAGCACCTGGCCTTCGCGCACATGCTGCAGGGCCAGCTGGGCGGCCTGGCGGGCCCGTGTGGGGCTGTTGGTGTGGCGCATGATCAGCTCCCCGATGGTGGGCTTGCGGCTCTTCACTGGCGGGAGAGAGGGCACGGGTCAAGACCGGCAGCCAGGACAGCCAGTGGACAAAGGCTGAGCCACCCCCCAACCGCCTCCAGGGGCCCTTTCCCCCCTTGCCAGGTGCCCAGGGTCGCTCACCGAGGGCCTCAGGGCGGCGCAGGGGGGGCAGGGGGTTGAGGGCGTCGGGGGCGTCCGGCCTGGCCCGGGCAATCAGGTACTTCCTGGCCTTTAAGAGCAGTGAGGGGAAGTCCTCCTGGCTGGCCGCGAATCCCTCGATTTTGTTCTTCACTGAGCCCAAGACCTGCCAGTGGGAGGAGGAGAAGCCAGGCCCTCAGCCACCTTCCCTGGGGGGGGGGGTTGCCCCTTCCCCTCCCCCCCCCCGGCCGCTGAGCTACCTGGAGGAGGGACTTGACGCTGGGCTGGAAGACCATGTTGGTGTTGAGCAGGAAGGAGCGCAGGAGGGGCTGCGGGTAGCAGGCGAGCTGAGCCAGCAACCCCGTCAGCAGGAAGTTGACGTAGAGCGAGTTCTGCAGCATGTTCTCCAGCTTGGCCAGCAGGATAGCCAGGAAGGGGCCTGCGGACACGGGTGGCCATCAGGCGGGGGGGGGGGGGGGACATGCCCCCCCCCAGACCCCGGGCAGCGGCTGCACAGGAGGGCCCTAACCGATCCTGCCTCTTCGCTGGCCTACACCGGACCGGGGAGCCAGCCTGAGATGGGAGGAGCCCCCCCTCCGCTCCCCCCCACAGCCCTGGAGCCATCGTGAACTGGCCCACTGAAGGCCACCCAGGAGACCCCCACACACCCCCGGCCGAAGGACCAGGCAGCCGCTTGAGAAAGGACCCTCCCTCCCAAAGGCTTCCCTGCACGAGGCGGGAAGGAGACTCACCGGTGAACGGCTGGCTGGAAGGCTGCCCCGAGGCCCGGAGGGGGCTGCTGAGGATCTGGGAGAGGGGGTCAGCAGGCGGGGCGGGGGCAGAGCCCTCGGGGCAGGAGGCAAAGCAGTGGAAGGCTTCCTCTTCCTCCCGGGAAAGCGGTTCAGGCTCGGAGGGGGGCTCTTCCTCCGCTCGGCCCCCGTTGGCCATCTCGTCCTGCAGCTGACACAGTTCCTGGTGGAACTCCTCCACCGTCAGCGGCCCCCCATTCTCCAGAGGGGCCTGGCTCAGCCCCTCATCCGCGAGCAAGTCCAGGCAGGAGGCGCCTTCCCAAAGGTTGGCAGGTGGGACTGACCCGTTCTCGGAGGGGCCCTCGGGGGGGGCCCAGCGGCCCTTCTTGATGCCAGCATCCACGTGGGCCCCGTTAAGCAGAGGCTGCTTCTCTTTGGTGTCCGCAGGTGGGGCGGTGCTTGGCGGCACAGCGGCAGGGGCCACTTCAAGGCTCGCCCCCCGCTTTTTAGTCCGGGGGGAGGCAGGTGCGGGATCTGGCAGGGCCCCCTTGGGATGGACGGGCGCGTCGGCTGCCGAGGAGGCACCCAGAGGTGGAGCTAAGCTGCCGGCATTGGGCTCCTCCCCATCGTAGGGGGCTGACCAGACGCGGCAGGCCCGCACGCAGAGGTCGATGTTGAGCCGCGCATCCCGCAGGTATTCCAGGTAGTTCCCTTCCAGGTCCGAGGCCTCCTCCCACCTGCCGGGACGGTGACCAGGGCTGCCTGCGGGCGTCCCTGGAGAGCGGGGGGTGGGGCTGGGGGCCTCCGTGCTGAAGCTGGACTGGCGGCTGAAGAAGGAGATGCGAGACGGCGTGGAGGGCCTGGGCACGGTCACCACGGAGGAGGAGTCCAAACTGGGGCTGCCTTGGCCTGGGGAGACGGAGGAGGAGGAGGAGGAAGGGTCCAGCCCAGCCACAAAGCCCCGTCCTCAAGAGGAGGACCCTGAGCCCGACCCCAAGAGTCCCAGCCGGGGGGAGCCCACCCAGGGAGGCTCTTCCCACCCGCCCAGCCTCACCCTTGGACCAGGCTGCCCGTTCCTCCTCCTCCTCTTCCGGGGGGGGCAGGCTCTCCGGGCGGCAGCACTGAGGGATCAGCGAGAGGAACTTGGCAGCAGCCTTGCCATACAGGTCCAGCTCCTTGACCGCTCTCTTCTGGCTCAGCATGACGTGGCTGCAGGGGATCAGGTACCTGGGGGGGGAGTGAGGAGCTGTGGCGCCACCTGCAATGCCCTCATCCACAGAGGCCAGGCAAAGGAAGGGCTGCTGCCTGGGCAGCTGTTCTAAAGGGGGCAATTCCCCCCATTCCCCCAAAAGCCCTTCCTCTTCTGGCTTCAGCACTGCTGGGGAGCCATTCGCTTCCCCTCCCCCCCCCCAAAGAAGGCCCCCAGTACCTCAGCACCAGCTGCAGCAGGACGTCCTCGCAGTGAAGGCCGATCAGCGTCCGGAAGAGGCTGAGGGAGACCATGCAGAGCTGGGGGCAGAAGGGGCGGAGTTAGAGGAAGCAGCCCCCCCCCCCCTGAACTAGGCAAAGGCCCCAAGCCCCCCCACCCCCCTCCTTCAGGGAGGGCCTTCCTGCAACCCTGAGCTGCTGCCCCTCAGTCCTGTTTTCGGCCTTCCCGTGCCCCTCACGGCCTTTCTGGTGGGGAAGCTGTGTGGGGGCCCCCGGTGCCCATGGCCGCCTCACCCGGGAATTGCTGGCGATCCGTGCCACCAGAGTGTCAAGGATGGTGCTGCTGTCGTGCAGGTGGAGCAGCAGGAAGCGCAGGAAGGTCTTCAGCAGGGCCGCCTCGCTGACGCTGCGCAGGAAGAGGTCCAGGTAGGCCGTGCTGGCGATCATCTCTTCGATGGACGTCTGGCGGGCAGAGGAACCTCAGCCAAGGCTGCCCCGCCGTGCCCCCGAGGCCTGCAGCTGGCGGGCACCGCCCTGCGATGGCTGGTCTTTGGCAGGAGCCCTGGGCGCCCCATCCCAGCCGCAGTCAGAGCAGCCGGTGCCCGGGAAAGGCAGCCCTGCCCTCCTGCCGCCAGAAGGCCGTCCGCCCTTCGAAAGGGGGAGGAAGCTCACCCTCACCTTGTGCAGAGCCGGGCCCATAACTGGCACCAGGAACCCACTGTGGATGTAATCCACCAACTGCTTCTGCACCAGCGGGTGGGCCACCTGCAGGGCAAAGGGGCAGAGTCAGAAGGAGCGCCCAGCCCGGAGCCCTCGAGTGGAGGAGCAGCAGCCCAGGGCTCAGCAGGTGGAATGAGCCAAAACGCCTCCGGAAGGGCAGCGGCCCCTCCCACATCGGGGAGGGGGACTCATCAGGGGACCGGCCCAATGTCCTACCTGCGCGGGGGGGGGGGGGGGAGCAGCAAGGTATGTGGGGAGCGCCCTGTGCAAAACCTGGGCGGAGCAGCATCCACAGAGGCCCACAGATGCGCAAAGGCCAGCCCAACGGAGGGGGCGCCTGGCCCCGATTGCACATGGCCAGCAGCAGAGAGACACCCCACCCCCCACCCCCCTCTGAGCCGCTCCCGCATCCTTCCAGATTCCGCAGGGACGAGATCCCAGGGCTCCGCTCAGCTCTCCAGGCGGGACCTTCTGGGCAGATCTGTTCAGGGTGTTTGAGGCAGTTTCTGGATGCCCTTCTCCCCCCCCCCCCCCCCCCCCCCCCCCCCGCTCTCCCTGCTGGACAGCGGCCTTACCTGGATGACCGCATTGCAAAACTCCAGGGAGTTCATGAAGAGGACGAGCGACGGGACCCCAATCCAGTCCTCCCGGCGCAGGAAGTGCCAGTCATCCCCACGGACCTCCAATTTGCGGGGCAGCGAGGAGTAGAGGGCGCTCAGTCCCGTGGCCAGGACCTGGGTGGGGATGGAGGAGGCCATCAGAATGGGGAGGGGACCACAACCAGGACCTTCCACCCCCAGGACAGGGAAGGCGGCCGCAGGGAGCTTCTGCACGGCTGCATGAGGGCGGACAGGTGCGGCCAGCTGCCGGCCTGCGTCCCTTTGGCGGGTGGGCAGGCGGGCCCCCCAGGGCAGACAGCTGCCCCCTGGCCCTGGGAAGCAGCTTTGGCTTCACGGATGTCTGCCTTGCCCTGAGGCGCTCCTCACCCTCGGCCCCCCGATGAAGATGCCTGGGCTTCCCCAGGCACCCAAGGGCGTCCCTCTTCTTCCTCGCTCCAGGGCCCACCTGGGGCAAGAAGCTGCCCAGGCCCTGCAGGGTGTGCCAAGCGCCCCCCCCCCCCCTT